AGTTGCTAACCATCAACACGGTTTCCGTCCACTACATAGCACTACAACAGCATTGCACGCCATATCCACACATATCAGTCGAGGACTCAACCAGAACAGGCCGTGCCACAGAACAGTAGTGGTGGCTCTCGACCTATCAAAGGCCTTTGATACGGTCAACCATGCCACGCTGTTCGAGGACGTTGAGAATACTACCCTCCGGCCAAGTTTGAAACGTTGGATAGTCAACTATATGTGTGGACGCCAGTCGCACGTGGAATTCCGGAATAAGAAGTCCAAGCCTCGTAGAGTGAAACAGGGAGTTCCCCAAGGTGGGGTGATATCTCCGGAACTGTTTAGCCTCTACCTTTCCGGAATTCCGCGCCCTCCAGACGGCATCGAGATCGTAACTTATGCGGATGATTGTACGATCATGGCGTCGGGTCCTGTAGTTGATGACATATGTGTCAGGGTGAATAACTATCTCGCGGAGCTTGCCGCCTTCTTCCACGCGAGGAATATGAAAATATCCGCCACTAAATCGACGGCCACACTATTTACCACATGGACTGCGGAGATGAGAACACAGCTGAATGTGCAGGTCGAGGGGCATATAATTCCGACCACCAACTACCCCAAAATCCTTGGGGTCACATTCGATAGCATATTCAAGTCTTCCGCGCAAGCCACAGCTATTTGCGATAAAATGAAAAGTAGGAACAAGGTCCTCAAGGCGCTAGCCGGCAGCACTTGGGGTGCGGATAAGGAAACCTTGTTGACCTCTTATAAAGCGATAGGTCGGTCTGTGGTTAGCTATGCGGCTCCAGTGTGGTCGGCGAATACAAGTGCAACGCAGTGGAAATGTATTCAGACCTGCCAGAATGCCGCCCTGAGAACTGCAACAGGGTGCCTCCTCATGACGCCTGTGGACCACTTACATGAGGAGACGAAGGTTCTTCCCTTACGTCAGCATAATCATATGCTTTTGTTGCAGTACCTGCTTGGGTGTTATCGCGGGAGTCGCCCTAACCACCATATGGTGGATAGAACTCCTCCACCCAGGCGTGTCAGGAAGGACCTGCACGATCTAGAGAGAGAGGTCCAGCGATATAAGAGAGAGCCTCTAGATCATGAAGCCTATCAAGCGGGTCTGAATAGCATTCATACTGATGCAGTCACAGAGGTAGTTAATAATTACAGTATGAATGCCATACTCGGAGTCCACCCCCCATCCATTGCAGCTGAAGAACGTCGGCTGTTTAGGCAAACCAGGGTAGTTTTGGCCCAACTACGTTCAGGATGGTGCAGCCGTCTCAATTCGTATTGGGCACGAATTGATGAGGATGTGCGGAACGCCTGCCCAGCGTGCGATACAGGCCCGCACGACACGCTGCACTTGTTTAATTGTTCTGCCAAACCTACCCAACTCCGTCCAAAGGATCTATGGCTACAGCCCATAAAGGTAGCAGAATTCCTAAACCTGGACATTGAGGAAGAACCAGATTAGTCGGAAAAAACAACAGAACGTGTAAAACTGCTACAACAACAACAACAACTAAGCATAGGGGAGTGATCCGTCAGGAAATCAGTCACCAGGGGCACTCCTCAAGGGGGGGGGGGTGGACTTATCACCACTACTATGGCTTCTGGTGATAAATATGTATAATATATCGGGAACACAATGGAACTAAAGTCGTGGCATACGCTGACGACGTAGTTCTGTATTTCTGTAGAACAGCACCATTACCGCAGCACCTAACGCCACTCTGGTTGTCTTATTCCGGATAATGCATCATTCTTGCAATTTAATTGCAACAGTCTCCGAGGATTGATGAGAAAGTGAAATTCATGATTGAGTTCCTGGGATTTCTTCAGCTGCAGCCACATATTCTGCTCGGTAGAAAATAAAGCCTACAACGTTGCTTGCTTTCGACTAGCATATTGATGACCATCACCAAGCTTAAAATGAACCACAGTAGATTTTCGGTCATTGATTGTCGCCTGCCATCCAATCAGCATCAGCAAGCCGTTCAACTCCAATTCACTCTTAGATCCCACGAGCAATTTCAGTCTTAGTCCCTCACATATTTTCAGAACCCTTTGACTTCAGTCCAATCTCTTTCATTCGGGCAAGTAATTTTCCGAGATAATATTGAAACGGCAAATGCAATATCTGCCGTGTATTGTTAGAGATATACAGCAGTGATCCGATAGCCTTCCGGATAAGATATGTTTTCAAGCAAATTATTCGTAGTTTCCTTCAAATATCCAGGATCCATGGGTATTGAAGAAATCTTAACATCTTGAAGAGCATTCATTTAATTGTTAATGTAACGTTCTTGTGACAGCTATAAAACCATTATTGTAGCTCACTTCTATCCCCCAATAGAGTCTAAATCACCCAATTCCGTTATGCAAAGTGGGATACAGAATACGTAAAACATCTGCAATTTGCTCTCAGTCTTAGATGCAACAATAATGTCATCGACGTAATTCAGAACGTATGTGATTGAGTTCGTATCACTTTTCACATAATAGGGTTCAGCCTTTCCCCTTCTGAATCAGAATCATTAGGCTTTTGTTGATACGAAGATTCCAACATCTTGCCGACTGTTTCAGCCCATAGAGGCTTCGTTTATTGACAAAATATTTTCTTTTCAGGTATAATAAAACCTTCAGGTTGTTTCAAATATATATCGGGTGTCCAAATCACCATAAGAAACGCCGTTTTGACGTCAACGTGCGAACTTTCATATTTCTATAGCTTGCGATGGCCAACCAGGCTTCTAAAAGTAGCTTGCTTTACAACTGGAGCAAAACTTCGTCGTAGTTTTCGCCGTATTTTTGGAAAATCCCTTTGCGACCAGTCTAGCTCTGTACTCCTTCTCACCATTAAATTTATGTTTAACTTTGAGACCCATTTACAGCCGACCAAGTTGCCATCACGTGGCAACTCCACCAAGTCCCACGTTTGTTTTCATGCAATGCCCTCATCTCCTCTTCCATAGCTCAACCATCTCTTGCCGTCCGATCTGGACATAGCCTCTCCAAAATTTGTTGGATCATCTTCAACGCATTTTGTACCCATACTTTGGCGGTATACCCTTGTTTGATCTTGAAGAAGTTCGGAGTATCATCAGGATTAATTGTTACGTCATTATTTAAAATTTCCTCGTCAGAAGACGATGAAATTCCCCAGCTGATTCAAGCCACAAAATTCTTCTGTGCTTATCGAATTATTATCTTCTCTTCATGAGCAAGAGGCGAACATTAGTAGAATGATGTAGAGACAGTATTACCAGATTTTCGTCAGAATTGTTATCTTTCTTCGGAACATCAAGAACATCGTTTGATTCCAAAACTTCACGTTACGGCTTATTATGATGTTTTATTGGTATCAGTATTTAGCAAACGAAATGCTTTGCTCTCCTCAGAATATCCCACCCGAATACATTTGACAGCCACATCGTCCAACTTTTTGCGTTTTTGTTTTTCAACAGGACTTAAGCAGCGGAACCAAATACAATATGCTCAAATTTGTGGCCTGCCAACCATAACTCAAAGGCGTTTTATTTACAGAAACTGATGAAAGTCGATTTTGAATTAGTTCGCATTGTTGACAGCCTCACCCAGAATTTGATATGAATATTTTCGCGTCGTATAGCATGCCCCTGGCCATCTCCATTAACCCGGTTTCTTCCTCTCTGCAACTCCATTCTGCTCGGAGTATAGGGGGCAGTGAGCTGGTGAATTATACCTTATTTTTGAAAACCTTCTGCATCTTTTATTTAAAAACTCTCCACCCGATCAGTTCTAAAATTTTTAGACGTTTTCCTAATTGGTTCTCATTTTGTTCATAAATTCTTAATTTTGTCGTAGGCCAATCCTTTGATCAATGAAAAATATTGTACAATAACGCTGTGATCATCACTCAGAGTTAAAAATAACGATTTCCACCAGGGGTATGTTTCATGGGCCGCATAAGTCGCAATGTACCAATCTAAAATTTCATCCGATCTAGATTCCGATGCCTTTGGAAAAATAATATAATTTCGACAATAGAGAAGAAAAGACTCAAAACAGAAATTGCGATTGCCCCAAGAATATATGGCTTGCCAAAGATCCACAAAGACGGCTATCCATTAAGACCCATATGTTCGTCTATAAATTCCCCGTCAATAAAACTGTGCAAATACATAGTAAACATATTAATAATTTGACGACAAAATCAGTTTACAACGTAAGGGATTCTGTGCAATTTAGGGATAAGATAAAGAACCTGACAGTTAATAATAATGAAAAAATGGAATAATTAAAAAACCAAAAAGTTTGACCTCAAGCTCAAATAATTGTTTTTATTAACTATCGAAAAGGTCGAAAAACCAGAGAAAATGTTTATATATATATATATATATATATATATATATATATATATATATATATATATATATATATATATATATATATATACAGGTAACGTTAGGAGGACTATGTGCTATCGTCAGTAATTACACTGCGCCGCAGACTATCATGAGGTTGGGAAAATTTTCGTTTAGTAGATAAAAATCCCAAAAGAGAGGATTCCCGGGTCTAACTTTTTTAGAGTCCATTTTATATAGCTTAACCGTACACAAATCGCCTCAAATATTTTCCTCTATACTCCGCAAAAGTTAAGATAGTTTTAAATTTGATTAAATTTGTACAAAATATGTCGCCCGGTACGTGAACCTATATTGACATTTTTGAAATGCATATTTATTTCTCTTTAGTCGAGTCATAATTTGTACAAAAAATTGTGCCACTTATGAGAGCCAGATCTGTGAATTATTATGCTTTAAAAACTATGCGTCAAAGACTAAAACTATAGACCGGCAGCGCGGTCTGGGCCAGCTAGTTAATATAATAAAAACCAATTTAGCATCCTAAAAAGCTACAAATTTTTGAAGAGTTCTACCAAGCGTGTTGCAACTATGATAGAAACGTAATTACGACATAGAATAAAAATGATGCAATCTACATACCTGTAGTATCAAAGTTGATATTATCAAGAACTGACCGCTGTCGCACTACTCCTTCGAAAATTCCTTTTTGTGTGTGATAATACTCCACAGTACCTTTGAGTTGATTTACTACGATACCCAAGTTGTAATGATTATACACGTTATTTAAATTATTGTCCGCACTGAAATTATAAAATGTTAACAATATTAATGTTTTAATGAAAAATCGTATTTTATTTTCGACATGATTAAATATATAAATATATATCGATAAAAAGGACTCAGTAGTAGTTGCAGCGAAAGTATCTCCTCGGTGTAGTTTTTTTCTTGCCGAATGTTGTAATAGGCCTGGCAGTTCGAAGTTCGTTTCTTTTGTACTTAAGTTTATATCACCTATTCTAATAGTAGTGTTACTAAATTTAATCAAATATGTTCATTTGATTTCGTTCACATATATATTTCCATGAATATTGTTTAAGAGGAGTAAGCGCGTTGCAGTTTTTTCTATTTTATTTATATGGTCAGCGTTTGAAAATGAGCAATTGAGTCGTACGTCGTTTATTAATTTCGAAATATAATTATCATTTGTTGTGTTAATTACATTTGATTTTAGTTTTGGGAATATCAATTATGTAAATTAAACAGTTGTTTTTGTTAGCAAGTTTAACATTTGCAAAATTAAGGGCTTGTTCTACATTTTTCAATTATATTTCATCTTCCTCAAATATTTCCTCTATTTTTTTCAATTTATTTTTCTGAAAAAATAAATGTATTTACAATATTTGATGATGATCGTGAGCTGTATTGCTGTGTTAATATTTTTTAATTCTTTCAAAATTTCAAGTTTATATTTTGTGTGTAATATACAAAAGTTTAGCAAATCGTCATTGTTTTTTTAAGAACTTTAAAATCATATTCGTTATATGTTTTCTATTATTTCCACCATTTGCAGGATGTCTCGTGTAGAAAGGGAAGAAGTGGGCGCGAATCAGGAATTTTCCTCGCCACTTATTTTTTCATCGTTTCGAGCGCGTCGTAACTTTCTTTAATATCAATCACATGTAAAATTCTAAAAGTACCAGTTTGTATTTTCCCTATTCCATACCCGATAAAGATGATCACAGATTTCTGTAAGGCCTAGGCAATACCTAGGTAGTACCTGAAGACGTATGAATTTGTATTAATTTCTAATGTGGCTTTTATGAACAATTTTCCCAGATTGGGTCCACGTTCAGGTACATGTTTTCTTTTACAGACAGGCATTGAGTGACTGAGGCAAACTTGTTGGGTTTATTATACTCAACAAAATCGGAATATTACTTCCAACGCTTCACTTCCAGGCTCTAAACAGTCGATCTTATCTAGGATCAGACATAAGTGGTGGTAAGCCTTCTCATAAAACTCATTGACTTTTTGATCTCCTTGAAATAAAACCGTCATCTGATTCCAAAGTCGAAATATCGCTTTTGTCTGAGAAATTTAAGACTAGGCATGTCCTAATGGCAGGACTCCAAACTTGTGTCAGCTTCTCCCACAACTTTATGCCTTATCGTATGTAGTATTTCGCAGTTCCTTTCTTAGGCTCATAATCCCATCTACCGCCTTCCTCCATGAGGAAAATTCGCCGGGCTTGTGTCCGGAATTATTTCACCCTGTAAGATGTCCCCAGAGCTGACTGTACTGATGACTGCTGTGGTGTCAACGTCCTCCCCAATTTTAAGGAGGTTTGCCACTTTTTTGGTAATGGGGTTAATTCTGGGATTTGCCCCAGAAGATGGGGAAGCAGAATTTGATAAACTCATAGCTTCAACTTTCGATATTAATTTGTCCAGACCAGATGGTATAACATTCTAATTTTATTCACAAAAATATTTTAATTGTTTTATTCTAATTTCTTATACGAACATAGTGTTGTGTTTTCTTGTTATATATATATTCTTAATATCTGACAAAAAATTGTGTTTTCATTTTCTTTTGTGTTTTGTACACATAATTATAAGCCATAGGGATTTTTCTGTACTTTCTTCAACAATTATCTCTTTATGAATATAACTTATTATTTTTAACTTGCTAATATTGTGGTGTAGTTTTCATATTCTTTCTATTCGGGTGGCAGTTGTCTTTTTAGAAGTCCTGTTTTCTTTTATGACATGTTTGTAGTTGGGCGCCAGTTAAAACACTTTATTTAAATTAAGCCTTCTAGTGCTATTGTAGTGTGTTTGATTCATCCATGTTGCCATACCTTCCGTATGACAACGTATCATACTGGTTTACATATTTGTCCAAGTTGGCATACCTTCTGTATCCAACTAATAGTATGCTTTTACTCAAGTTACAATACATTCAGTATGTAACTTTACACCCTCACTTTATTGAGGTATGTTGTCCGCACTGCTCCGAGATAGTAAGCGTGCATTATGCTTACTAAGCGTTTTCCCACGCTCACTTTATTCTTCATTTACCTTAAGTTAATTTTTGTAAGATAATATTATTTCAGTTCTAATTTGAATAAAGTATGGGGAAGTCGCATTTTGCGGCTTCCCCAACAAAACCAGAAGAGTTTTCATTTCATGGCGATCCTGCCAAACAAAAAAAAAACTTTAAAAACTACAAAAGTGGTGCACCGTGTATAATGTGATTTCGGATAATCTATATATATTAAACGCTTAAACTATGGACCAGCAACACAGACCGTGCCAGCTCGTAAATTATAAATAGAAAAAAGAAAGAAAAATGCCTCGGGTTTGCTAAAAAAAGACAAAGAAACAATTGATTTGATTAATGATCCTTGTTTAAGTATCAATCGAAAAAGGATTTAACAACAACAACAACTATATGTGAAATTCAAACAAACAAACCAAAAAAAAAATGATTTACAAAAAGATGAATGCCAAAAAAGAAAAGAAAAAAAAAATGAATCATTTGAATATGAGAAAGCAGAAGAAAACTTTGCTCAGATAATATCAAACAAAACATAAAAAAAAAATCTTCAAAAAACAACGAGAAAAAAAAACCTAAAAACAACACAAGGAAAAAATAAGAAAAAAAAAAAAACGATTTTTTTGCTAGTTGAAACAAGATAAAAAATTGAAAAAAAGTAAATTCAAACACAAAATAAACAACTTTAAAAAATCCACAAAAAATCGTAATATGCCATTTAAAAAATAACTTAAAAATGGAAGCAAAAACCAATACAAGGTTAAAATATAATTTTTTTAATACAACAAACAAAAAAAGAAAAACATTGACATAATAAAACAAAAGCTGCATGTGACTGATTCTGACATTCTCTATTGTGAACAACAATTATCAGCGAAACACCACATAAACAAACGGGGTCTTGAGATTTCCGAATACACGTATGTGCAGAAACCAGTAATGAATGAAAAGTTAAAAGAGAACAAAAAGGAGCTGTGCACTTTCACTCTCGCAATCTCCTGCCTCTCATCGAGAAAGAAATTAATCCAAAGAGAAAGAAATTAATCCAAAAAGAAATTAATCCAAAAAAAGCAGAAGAAAGGATGAAATTGGCGAAGGAAGAACAGTGAAAAAGTAGAGAAAAGGAAAGCGTTCGTCTTCATATTCCATATATTGCAGATAATTTTTACAAACAAATACCATAATGCCAGAAATTCGCAAATGCTGTATTGTGGGATGCCTGTCGAGTTCTCGAAGAAATACACCAACGATGTGAAAATCTATGTCTAAGAAAATAAACAAAACAAACAAGCAACTACAATAACAGGTAACCCCCTTTTGTTTTTAAGAAGTGCAACAAGGATAATATCGACCACCCACACTAGCAGAAAAATAAAGTCCCCTTAAAATTATTATTGTTAAATATTAACTTAACACAACAGCAATACAGATTTTAGTTCTAGCATTAACCAAAAAACTGCAACAACAACCCCTATACATTATTAAATGCAAATAATTAAAACAAAACACTTATATTTATATAATATATACCACGACAACAAAGGCAAACTATATAAAAAAAAAAAACAACATTTAAATATTTATTGTTTCCATTCTGTTTTTGTTTACATGCAATATTTTTGGCGGTGCCTCCGAATTTGATAACATATAATCGGGGATACTTGAATTGATTAATTACATTCAGACAAATTCAACTCAACATAAATATCATCAAATCTATAAAATCTTTATCAGCTTGGTTTTACATTGTTAAACAATGGGTGGCTCAGAATCTAAAATAGACAAACCGAATGCCAATGTAGTAAATGACATTGTGCTTAAGGTTGAGCATCCTACTATTTACCTTATTATAATTATCGCTTAACTAGCCGCGCAACTACTGGTAACTCTTTACCAGTTGCATAAAAAGACATTGCGAAAATATTATATCAGGGCTGCTTCAGTCGGAAACGGTCTTGATAAGGTTTAACGACCAAAAGAAAGAAAGACCAAACACAAAAAGATAAAAAATTAACAAGCGTGTCAGACATTCCTAGGGTCTACGAAACACTAAATGCAAAGGAGGTAAAGAAAAGTGTTCGCCTAAAGTTTTTTCTCTCTGGTACAACTCCAAAGTGTATCCTTAAATACGGGAGAAAAACTTTAGAAAATGTAAAGATTGATGACCTTATTACTAATGGAAGCTTTGATCTAAGTCAATTCATTCCTAGGTTGGAAAAAATAACCGGTAATAAGGGAATATTCAAGTTGCAACTCTCATTAAATGAGGATTTATTCAATATGATTCGAATCAATGATTTCAAAAACTGTGCGAACCAGTTATTAAAGAAACTAACAATAGCGTTAACGCCAAAATTAGAGAAAATATCTGCTGACGAGCAGAAAAGAAAACTCCTACAAACGTATCATAATGACCCATTATACGGAGGTCACCCTGGCATCAAAAGAATGTCAGAAAAACTCCGCAATAAATATCGTTGGAAAGGAATGTCTAAAGACATCAAAAACTATGTTAAAAATTGCAGTAAATGCCAAGAGAACAAGTCCCTTAAAAGGACGAAAGAACCTATGTGTATAACGGAAACGCCAGCAAGTGCCTTTGATATTCTCGTTATTGATACAATAGGCCCATTTATTAAGTCAAACAGCGGTAACGAATACGCAGTAACAATAATATGTGATCTCACCAAGTACCTGGTAACTATACCAGTACCCGATAAAACGGCAAAAACAATAGCTACGGCAATATTTGAAAACTTTGTACTTACATATGGACCAATGAGAAAAGTTTTAACTGACAGAGGAACTGAGTATAAAAACCAGACCCTGCAGGAACTTTTTAATATGTTGGATGTGAAACATGCTCCCTCAACAGCATACCACCATCAAACAGTTGGATCCATAGAAAGGTCACATAGGACATTTAATGAATATATTCGTTCTTATGTGTCATTAGAACGAACGGATTGGGACGAATGGCTTAAATATTTACATACTGTTTTAATACTACTCCATCAACAATCCATGGTTATTGTCCGTATGAATTGGTTTTCGGCAAAATTCCAAATATCATTGATTCTATTGGTTTTAACACTGTAGATCCACTTTATAATGTTGACTCTTATGAAAAAGAAGTGAAGTACAGACTCCAAATGGCAAGACAACGAGCTGCCAAAATGATTACTCAATCAAAATTCTCCAATAAATTACAATATGACAAAACGGCTAATCCTTTACACGTACAAATAGGAGATTTAGTACTAGTAGAGAATAATGGCGGCCATAAATTGGAACAATTATTCAAAGGCCCCTATTCTGTCGAAAATATAGATTCTAATGGGAATTGCACGCTGTCATCGTCGGACAGAAAAAGTATTGAAGTACATAAAAACCGTTTAAAATTGTTCAATGCATTAAGCAATAACTTGAATTAAGAACAAAAATATTGAAAATATTGTTTTTTTTTAACTGCCTTTTAAATATAACTCTGCCTCTAAAATATACGTATATATAAATTTAGCATATACATACAATAAATTATAAAACTTACATAAAACATAGATAACTGGCCAGTACCTATGAAAATATAATAATATAATACATAGTAATAATATAAAAACATACATATATATAGTAATACATAGTAATAATATAAAAACATACATATATATAGTAATACATAGTAATAATATAAAAACATACATATATATAGTAATACATAGTAATAATATATAAACATACATATATAGCAATAATCTAAATCTACTTTAGATCATTTAACTTTTCAATTCGACTTAGTAAACTAATATATAAGAATACATCTATTAATTAATAAAAAAATATGTATATATGTAAAATAATGAAAAAAAAAAACATATTAAATCACTTATATTAAAATTTAAGATCCCACAACAAAATTTTATAAAATTATATTTGAGTTTTACAAATCATAAATTATATTTTATAGATATCGTTTAAGTTCAAAAAAAAATTTTTTGCTATTTTTCGTTATTCTCATGTAATAATTTTTATTTACTACAACATATATTATAGAACAAAAATTGTAACCGTATTAAATAAGTAAAGTTAAATATATATGTAAGCATTAGTCTTTATACAAAAAAAAAAAAAAACAAATATGAGTAACTTGTAAACATTAAACGTAATTTTAAAATAAACCAGATCTAAATTTAAATAATGCCAGCACTGACTGTTAATTGTAAATTTATGTGAATAAAATTCATGAATTATAAAATTATACGAATTAAACTCAACTAAGAATAATCAACTTAAACCGTTGATTATTCTTTGTTAAAAAGGGAGGTGTAGTGTGTTTGATTCATCCATGTTGCCATACCTTCCGTATGACAACGTATCATACTGGTTTACATATTTGTCCAAGTTGGCATACCTTCTGTATCCAACTAATAGTATGCTTTTACTCAAGTTACAATACATTCAGTATGTAACTTTACACCCTCACTTTATTGAGGTATGTTGTCCGCACTGCTCCGAGATAGTAAGCGTGCATTATGCTTACTAAGCGTTTTCCCACGCTCACTTTATTCTTCATTTACCTTAAGTTAATTTTTGTAAGATAATATTATTTCAGTTCTAATTTGAATAAAGTATGGGGAAGTCGCATTTTGCGGCTTCCCCAACAAAACCAGAAGAGTTTTCATTTCACTATGCACTTTTGTTTGATTTTTTTTATTTATTTCAACACTTGCTTTGTTGAAATGACAAATAAGAATTGATACAAGACTTAATCGACAGCATGTGTTGTGCCAAAAGTATTCAGTTGAATATTTGGCATTCCCAATAAGTTTTCAAAGCCAACTTCAATCATATAAGGAATTAAATCCAGTATTACAAAAAATTAATGTATATCTTAAATATGAGCAGAAATCCCGTTTATAAAAAAAATAAGTATCTTACTGTGTATTCTAAAATATTCCTGAAATGTCTCACTGATCTGCTAGAAGTAATCTCAAGTATTACAAATTCGTTATAAGGGTTTTGAAAGGAGCAAACTGAATTTTGTTATTAAATTTAAAAATTTCACCATCCGTTGTAGCAGATGGAATGAATATTTTTAAAAATCAGATATTAGATACCTATACACCTTCTGCATGTATTAAACGCAGTATTGCGTTAACAAGTCCGAAGCCGAAAATAAACATAAAAATAAGCTTCAACACATTTTCACTACTTTTTAACCAAACTTCTAAGAATGCTGCTTACAAAAGTTAATTGGATCGAAAGTTGAACATTCATTCATATATATCTTACCTTTGTAGGGTTTCATTGATGTGTGGAGAAAATAAAAGCCCATTCGTTTTATGATCAGCTGAATTGTTTGTAATAATATTTCGACAGAACAAGGTTAAATTAGCTGCAATTTCCAGAAAATATCTAATATGGAGCAATTGGTTTCCCTCTGTTTGCTCATATAAAGCATTTTCTGGCTTGAGCATCTCTTTAAAGTTAACATCGCTTATTATAAATCGCATGTATATTGACAGCATAAGTTTTTGAACACGATATAGATTAACCCCTGTATCTCCGGTTGTATCTATATTGACCAAGGTTAAAGTTTCCTGAAATCACATGAATTGGATTTGTTGTATTTAATTCCAAAGAAAAATTAAGTACCTGGTTAAAAGTTCGGGCAATTACTCCAGTAATAAGCGATAATTCCTGTAATAATCCAAGATCCGAAAATGGTGAGCCAGATCTGAGTATTATTTCTATCATATCCCAGTGGGAGAGTAAGAAATGCATCACTTGTGAGATGACCGAGTAGTTTTCAGTGCCCAATGTTGACAACAAACAATCACATAGATTTAAGGTTGGAAAGAGTATTTGTCTAAAGCGATAGTCGAAACCAGGAACAAAATTCCTGTTTTCATTTTGTTGCCACACTTCCTTTCGTTTTAAATCTGGGTGCATGTCAAATACTTTCATGCCTGACAACACCTCTAATACCTTATTTGAGAGTAAAAGTTCTGCACCAGTGTAGTTATTTGCAAATCGAATTAACATTGACATCTTTGACTCATACACGTAAAGGTATTTCATATTTTCAGGAACATTTGCCAATGTAGTGCACAGTTGACTGTCGCTCTTAGCAATACTCTCTATGATGTGAGACAAATATCCATGATGAGCAATAAACTTCATTAAGTGGGACATGGAGTCTATATCTAGTAGAACGTCAATGCAAGCCAGAGCCGTCATTTTACAGATGTCATGACCAGCTATGCAATCGTGGCATATTGTCTCCATTAATTTATCACCAAACGACAAAAGCACTTCCACGGCCATTCTAATGTGTGTCACATCTGAATATGCAATATCACTGACTTTTGACTTATCCAAACGGGTAATAAAACTGAAAATGTAAATAAATATTTTTTTTTTAATTTTAGAGAAATATTTATTATTCAGTATTTCTACCAGCATAATTCGGGCAGTTTGTTGTAAATGTAAAAGAAAGTAGATATAAATAAAGTTGAATTGAATGATTTTTATAAGCTTACAATTTCTTGAAATCTACTAAAAATCCTATTTTTTGCTTGGTACTTATACATTTGGATATTAATACAACTAGCGTCAAATCTAAAGTAAATAACAAATTGCAATTCTGAAACCAATCGAACTGTCTCTTTATAGACAGGGTGAGATAAAAAACTAAAACTGCAACGAAGTCAAACGTCATAATTTTTAAATTTTTTTAAATTTTTATATAAAAATAATAAAATTATAAATTATAATAATAAAATAAAAAATAAATGTCGGAAACAGCATCAAATTTTAGAATGAATTTAGATTTGTTTGAATTGATCACGTTTGGCACGAATTATGACCTTTAAATGGCCAAACCGTCATACGCTGCCCGAATGTTGCTCCGTAGTATTTTAGCCCATTTCCGGCGAAGCGCTTGCTTGAAGTGATCGAAACTTTGGTACTTTTTAGTGCCAATGTTGCTTTCCAAAATACTCCAGACACAATAGTCCAACGGTTTGGTATCCGGAGAATCTGGAAATGAAGCGAGGAACCTTATTTTGTAACCATTCTTGGGTGGCGCGTGCTGAGTCCTGTTGGAACGTCCAAGGTCTGCGGCAAAAATGTTTGAGTGCCCTAGGCTTTAATACACCCTCCAGAATATGTTCACGATAATATTCGGCATTTATTCTGATGCCACGATCGATTAATACGAGCGGAGAGCAACCATCGGCCCACACCATCACCATAGCCGGCGCTTGTGTTCTGGTGGCCAATCGAAGGTGCACATTTTCAGCTGACCTCTTTTTGGCAAGTAAACACGATCATTTTGTTTGTTTACAAACTGTTGGACAACGAATGTTTTCTCATCGGAGAAACCCAAATTCAGCAGTTCACCTCTTTCGGCTAAGTGAAGCAACTCTTTAGCTTTTTTGAGTCTATTTTCTTTCTGTTGCGGTGTAAGTTCTTGCATTTTTGGAATTTCAATGGCTTTACGAGCTCATTTTTAAATATTTGCCGAATGGAATATTGCTATAAGTTTGGCTCTCGAGCCATTTTTCGGTCACTGCGACGCGGGTTTCGATCAAATAGCTTCTTTACTTTTCGAACGTTTTCTGCTGATGTTGCTGTTTTCTTCCGCCCACTTCCTTGACGTCGGGCTACGCTACCAGTATCACGGTAACGAGCGTTGGTACGAGACAAAAAAAATTATTCACATTTAAATGCTGGAGTGCTCTAACGATAGCCACCTGTGGTTTTCCAAGCCAAATGCAAAGAAATCACACTATCACGCTTGAATTCCATCAGGATAACTTTTTTCATTTTCTCACCAAAATGATTTTGTATATGTATACAACTAGCTGGCCCGGTCCGCGTTGCCGGACCGTAGTTTTTGTCTATTATGCATATTTGTCAAAGCATTATTATTCACAGATATGACAGATATAAGTGTTCACATACTGATCGATTAAACGTGTTTTAAAAATGTTTTAATATACCTGTACACATATTTAAGCCGTGGGCTTCAATATTTAAACCTTGGACTTCAAATGTGTGGATGTGCTATTCAAATCTTTTAAAAAGTATATATCAATCATATCCCGATGTAAGGGATCAAATTAATTTTTAGTATGGTAAAAATCGTAGCAAAATTTTCCAGTCAAATGAGCAGTAATTTGGAATTTACTGTATTTTGCACACCTCATAATTTAGGGCTGAATAATTTAAGAATAGCCAAAGTTAATTACTTTTTTAAACCAATTAGCACCTCAGATTGTGCATTAGAGTCGTCATCAGTCCCCCTAACCATGTCGGTCTGTTTGTCCGCCAAAAGGTGGACTTGAGAGGGTTCTATTACATGGAGAAAATTCTAAAATTTGTAGATATGTTGAAATTTTTGTGTAAGATTTCCACCCCTAATATACATTTTTAGCCAAATCCCTTGAAATATGGTAAAACCAGGAGGGACCTTTATATGGGCACTACTCCGAAACATCGACCTACACTGAAAACTTTCTTCTACTAAAATATAGCTAAAAATATAGCTATTTTACACACATTACCGAAAGATGGGAATTTATTTTATTTGCCATTTAAATTGTAAGTTGGAGACCCCATAAAGTCCATATTTTTTTCATCAGATAGTATAACTCATGTTTTCACAATTCGTTTCATATAGATGTACATCTCAAATCTACGTTCCCAACCAATATTCTCTTGGGGGTTACAAATTCAATGCAATACAAAATTTTCTTTTCTGACCACACATTAGATGTGAAAGTGGACATGAGGATACTAGAAAGTGGGGACTTTACTTAAATAAATTCCTATGGGGCAATTATCTGTATGTATACCCCAAGGTAGCATATATACAATTTTTTAGCCAAATCAATTGATGAATGTGGTCAAGACCCTACTCTGAAAATTTAAAATTTTATGCGAAGAGGTTATCTACCCCCTTAGATCCGGCGGATTATCGGAAGCATAGCTGGTTGCTACCGGACTCGTCCACAGGTTGCGGATAGTGGAACGCCCAATAGATATATTGGGCAGCTGCGAATAAATAAGCAGTCGCGGACAACTCAGCGGTTCCGGGGGGAGAGTCTCGGAATAAATATCCGAGTGCCCATGATCCCTGGTTCGACGAGGCGAACAACTGGCGCCTCGAATTATCCAGTGATCGGTGTTGGTCTACCCAGGAATAAGACCCCCTAACGCTGGGGTGTTACGTAAACCGTGCCCATCAGCGTTCCTCGGTTTGCAGTGAGGGTACCGACTGTATTCGTACGGTTGCCTCACTGATACCTGGGCGCCTCAGTGAGTAACAGGCTTAGTTGCCAAGTCCTTGCCATGGTAGGGAGGCTATGCCATGGTGGACCTCGTCTCCTCCAAGTCCGACCTTTCACATGGAGAAAAACAACAATAACAACAAAAACAAAACCCCAACTTCCACCAATGACACCATTGCTTCCAAGGAAGCAACGACCAAGGACCGGCCACAGGACATGATTTCCAATTCGGGAGGGGACGACATACTGAGCTACAGTGACGTTATTCATGACAACATCCAGCGACAAGCGAACAATTGTCCGCCATCCTGGAGAAGACAAAAACGCTAAGGCTCAGTCAGGAGAGTATTCCTTCTGGCTTTGGAGATGACTCACCACTTTCAGATGAGGAACTGGTCATCACGGTCATTTCCTCGTCTCAAAGTGGTAAGTCATCTCAACAAGCCACCAAGAACACTCCCAGCGAGACTTGCGCGGAGTCCAAAAACCAGGAGGGAATAACGTCGGTCACTTCCGATGCCACCAGCCTCTACCGGCAAGACGCCATCATTGTAGGCACTGGCGGGGATCCTGCCAGAAACCCTACCTCTCGTGATGGCGCCGACCCAAAAGAGGTGAAAGCAAAGCGGGGATATAAAAGGTCGGTAAATTACTGCAAAAAATTTATCGGCAAAGACCCCGCGCAGATAACGGAGAGAGAGAGGATTCTGATCAAGATGAACCTCAAGGTAATTGCTAAGTTCGAACGGAACCACCCGCACTTACCGAGCTGTTCTCTAAACCAGAATCTTCTACCTCTCCTACAATCTGCTATCAGCAGTAGGGTAAACCAACCTGTGGTTCAAACCTCTGCTGAGGGCCCTGCGGAGGTCAGAAATTCCGCCGCCACTAACAAGACCACCACGGTCGTTGTTCACGAGGTGACGGCTAATGCTGACACTGCTGGGTCAAATCCACCTGCCAAAAAGCGCAAGAAAAATAAGGCCAAGAAACTGCAGTTCCACCGGAGGCCGATACCTCTTCACGCCCAGCGTTGAAAAGGGGTCGGTCTACGGAAGAACCACACCCTGAGGCCAAGAAGGCATCCAAGGGCCCGGCTTCTCGGCCTTTGCCCACAACTTCCACTCCGTCTGCTAGCAAGCCGGTCGCGACTAAACCTCCCCCACCAGCCCCTTCAAGCTCTAAGCCTGATAAGGTTCACAAGGGAGAGGTCAAGTCACAAACGGCAGGCCAAACAGGACGGAAGAGGAAATACTCGCAAACCATCTACCCGGATAATATTCGGGTTGCAATCATCGACAAGGCTGAACCGGAAGGTAAAATCAGCGACAGTCGATGGTTGCTATACGAAGATCGTCTGAGGGAGCGTATTCACGGGAGAGGGTGGCCCACGAAGTAAGCAATTCGGCAGTGCAACCCTTTACAAAGGCGTGAAAGTAATGTGCTGCGAGAACCAGGAATCTAAGGATTACCTGGTCACCGCAGTATCTGGCTTTCACGATCTCTGGCAGGGATGTGATCTGGCGGCTGTATCCTTAAAGGACATCCCCTGCCGTAATGTATTGACAGCTTGGGTGCCTCCACCATCCGTGGATCCGGCACGCATCCTGACAATACTGGGCAAGCAGAACCCCAACCTCAAAACGGACAACTGGCGTCTTGTCAATTAAAACACTGAGGGAGGGGCTGGTCATCAAGGTATCTATGGATACGGATGGCCAGGAATACCTTCAAGCTCGTGGGGGGAAACTGCATTTCGGCGCTGGATGGATCCGTTTCCGTCTAACGCCGTTGCATTAGGTGGAAGAAAACAGCAGCTACTTAGCATCATGCAGATTAATCTGCATCACTGCAAGGCAGCTGCTGCAGAACTCCTCCTATCCCTCTCGAAAGCTGAAGTAGACATAGCTCTGGTTCAGGAACCCTATATACACAATAATAGGGTAACTGGACTAGGGAGTGGGCAGTACGTCTCTTACGCGGTCTCCAATGGTGATAAGGTAAGGACGTGTATTGTTGCCAAAAATAGTTTAAACCTTATCTTCCTTAGCAACAACAGTGGAGGAGACGTTACGGTAGCGAGATTGGAGTCTAAATC